CAAACCAAAATTTTGCAAAAGCGGTTTGCCATGAAAAAAAATTCACACGATCCTAACAAAAATGTTCAATCCACGATAAATTAGTGTCGGGGGCTTTGATTTTTTGTAATACAACGTGATAAAAGTTCGACATGACAGCATTATATTAAACAAGTACCAACACATTTTGTGACACAACGTGTAGCTTTGGAAATGATCTTAATTCACAACCGAAATACTAACCATTTTATAATATGAAAAATAATTAGATTTCTAATCCAAGATCAGAAATGATGCAAGACTATTGATTTATAATCTAAAATGTCTTCAAAAACCTAATGTTACTATGTTTAAAAGTGGCTTAATGAGTTCAAAACTGCACTTATAATTCGAAGGTCATGATTTACTACGGGTACTTCGTATATACTTGAGCTATCTCAAATTAGCTTATCAGATGTTACTTTTTTTCTTCGTCGGCATTCGGAATTACTTTTTCATGCCACTTCGTTTGATGGAACATATATTATTTTATTGCTGATTTAATTTCACTCATTAAGACATGACCTCAGCTCTATCGTAAAATTTCATTTGTGATAATCTTAATGACATGTTTGGAAAACGATTAGAAAGCTAATTTTGTAGTGACAAGAGTGTTAAATCAGTGAATGAGTTAGACCCATCATAATCTCCACATAAGCCGCAGACACAATAAAATATTCCGTGCAAGTAATTCCATAATATAATGTACCTAAAAAATTCATCCTAGCTGCTCCAGTGTGTTAGCGTGTGGGAGTCACTTTCATTAGAAGTAAAGTCATCGTGAAGAGGAATTTATAATAAAAAATCACTCACTTAAACTCGTATTTTCGCAATATCATTGTAATATCATTGTGAAGAGGGATGTGTTACTAAATTTGGCCTAAGCTAATATCCGCTCGATAAAGTTGGCGTGAGATCAAATTAAGGAGAATCACCCCAAATAGGACCCATCACCCATACAATGTCATTTTTCAACGACACGATCTAGAGCCGTTTGATAACACTCAAATCGACTGAATCATCTAGTTTTGCTGAAACTTAAGAAGTTCTGATTGAAGTGTCTGTATTGACTGATTCGGTTTATTGATGAAAAAATTATATTTAAAATATATTTTGTCAATAAAATAAAGAAAAAATTATATGAAAAATAGCTAAAATGATAATCTACAGTAACTTCAGTCAATACAGTCAAAAAGGAACTACGACCTTACTTTTTCTTATTATGACACAGTTCAACGTGCGAAATCAGAAATCACATACTACCTCCGTTCTCTTTTAAATGCAACGTTGGACTTTTTGCACTATTCACATGATCTACTTTGACTACGTTTTATTTATTAATGTAATAATATATATTTTTGAAAAAAATATTATTAAATTTTTCTCATTATAAATTTTCAAAATCTATTTTTTAAACTTTTTTTACTAATCGGGAATTATATATATTAATGGTCAAAGTTGTGTCTCGGCAAATGTGAAATGTTGACTGTTGCATTTATTTAAGAACGGAGGAAGTAATTAATTAAAAAGTTGATTGAAAAGCCTAACAAGTCCAAAACCGGGTGCCCATGGGTGCGTATAATTCATAACTTCCCGTTTCCCCTAAGGTCGACTAGCTAGTCTCGATCAGCCTAAATCCCTTCTAATTTATGCGTGATATAAATTTATGGAATGTCGAAGAGATATAACTTTCAATATTCAGTAGCTAAATACTATCGTATCACATAATAATGTACACAAAAAAATTGCAGATGTAAAGTGTAAACTCATTATTAAACCAAGTTACTTGTGGTATGATTTTTTTTTAGAAACACGTGCAGTGAAAATATAATGTCGTTCGAATGTGCCAACCTTATCAAATATTCAAATGTAACAATAAATCGTGTGTCTTTTCAAACTCATATGAAACATAAGGAGTATATGCATCTCGTGTTTTTTCTATATTTGATAATATGATCAAGTTAAACTATGTTTATACGATCTCTTCAAATTTACAGCAATTTTTTGTAATGTTGAGTACGTACTGAATGAATATCGTTATGTTAGTGGGCAAAAATTGACATTTAAAGGACAAAATTTGCAACTCACAAAATATAACTAATTAAGTTGAATTCCCACTAAAGTGGTTGCATTCTGTGTCTAATATGATTGAAGTTTTTATGATTTAAGTATGCAATTATTCCAAGTGAATGAAAAGTATACTCTTATTTACTACGTTTATGTTAAGAAAAACTCAAATTAGGCGAATATATTATTTATATGCAAAAATAATGTTATGTATGTCACTTTTATTTATTTATCATTTGATATTACTTTGAGTTGGTATTTATCGCGATCGAACGGAAAGTTTATGATATGAATGGTAGATAGACTATCCATAAAAAAATGGAATGTAACATTATCATTATCTTTAAAAATAGAGGAATAAAAAAAGGAACTCCACAAAAGTATATAACCAATAAATAATGATTAGGAGATGTATAGTATAAAAATATACGATAGTATATAGAAGGTGAGGAATGGGGTATAAAACTTTATTCACACTCACATGCCTAGTGTCTTCTACACACACAATAATTAATTTAAATTCCTAGGTGAACCAGTCCACGATCTTAAATTACTTGTAGATCAAGTTCACCAAATGATAAGATATACCTTATTTATTATTATTACAATGCGATAAAATTTGAGATTGTGGAATATCTATATGGTATATCAACTAGCTAGGGTTAACGTATGATAGAAAACAAGAAAAATGAAAAAACAAAAATACTCTTTAACGCTCTTTTATTGACAGAGACGTACATATATGTAGATTTTAACCATGTTTTTACTTGGACTGTAATTTGTCCCAGACCATACCAGACCAGACTAGATCAGACCAGACCAGATCAGTCCAGACCAGATTTGGATAGTTATAAAAATTCAAAGAAACCAGACCAAACTAGACCAGACCAGACCAGTTCAGACCAAACCAGCTCGGACCAGACCAGACGAGACCAGCAAATTACGGTCCAAATAAAAACATTCTAAGTTATACATTCTTCTATTATACTAGTACAATTTATACTAAATTGAAAACCTCAAAATTGAGAGTCTTACCTCCGTTCAAAGATGAGATAATATATCCCATATTATTAAAAGACGTGTATTTTTGTAATATGTGTGTGATCAGGTTTAAATAAGAAGAATCTTTAAAGTGTGAAACAAGAATACATCTTAGCTCATTTGTTAGATTGGACTAAAATGCAGTAAAAAATAACTTCACATTTCACTACGTTGCAATATGAAGTTGTTTGGTGCAATATCGTCAAATTTTAATGAAATATGAAACAATTTTAGTGCAACATTGCAAAATTTAAATCATACTACAATATTAAGCTATTTTTAGTTCATACATAAGTCTATTGATTGATATTCATTCTGATTTCTCACATTAGATGCATTTCTCACTTGAACTTATGTGCGTGTCTTAATTTCCGAAATTCAAAATGATAGATGTTGTCATTCATGTCCTTGTATGTACCGTTGATGTTTCTTCCTATTTCTAGATAATAGTCACTTCCTCTTTGGTAAGGAGCCAGTGATTCATTTGACCGGTGTCAACAATTAAAATAAATACTAGCTCCATCCAAAATTGTTTTGTAAAATCAACATTTTTTGTCAATGTTAAAATTAAATCTTCCCTTTTTGATAATTAATTCAATTTTAACTATTAAAATTTACATATTCAGGAATTACATTAAAATCTCCATAAAGTTGCAAAATTCAAGTTTAATTAAAACTGATATATTCTAATTAAGTGAACAAAATGAATCTGTTTCACCCAAAAAATCAATTTGGAACTCCATTTGTGTGGTGTCAATTGATCATTTTTCCATTTACATAGGTGGCTTCAAATTAATTTTTAGAAAATACTACATATATATCTATATCTATAACTACAAAATTATTTGAGTGGTGTCAATTGACACCACAAGGTTGTATGTAGATACATCCCTGTATCACATGAAATATGTAGTCATATATTTGGAAAACATGTGTCTTTTAGTAACAGTGTATTATTTTCCTGGCCTCTTTTTACATAATTGCAATATTGGAAATTTCACACGATTTACATACTATGTGTTTCATTTTGACTGCATTATACTTTTTTAAGTTTAGAAATTTAATGTTTGAAAAGTATTACGGAGTATTAAATGTGTATTACTTTATGTTTTGAAAATATAATTTTTTATTCTCGGGTATGTTTGACACAATTACTTGAAAATATACTTTCGTGAGTTTTGAAGTAATTATTTGTTTTTAGTTACTCAAAAGATCTTAAAAGAAAAATGATGTAGCTATTAGATAAATTCGTTTTTGTGATTAGTTCGAAAAGGGTTCATAAATACTTCGTATATATATTCTATGATGTACAACTTACATGAATATTTATTTATTTTGTCAATATTAAAAATTTAGATTCTATAGAAACAAAAGTTACTAGTAATAAGCAACAAAAAGATATCACCATCATGCATCAAACTGATAATACATACATAAAAAATTAATCGATGAATATACATAATTTATCATGCATAATAATACATGGAAGGGATTAAATGATAAAGAATGTTTGTAAATCAAACTAAATCACAAATATAATAACTTATCTGTTGTAATTAGAATATCGTAACAAGTATACCACATAACATAATTTTCCAGCACTACACAAATCAAAGGCTAACAATGATATTGAGATTAATGTTTAACAATTAACAAATAAAATTTCACAATTTAATTCGTTGATTGGGTTTATTCGATTCAATTTTATATTGAAAGATCAAAACATGGACCAAACCAAACAATTAAGGTTCAATTATTTGCATTCGATTTCGAATATTTTGCGATTCGATTTAATTTGGCTGTGATTCAATTTATTTTAATTTGGTTTTGAACCCATCGGTTTAGTCTATGAATGCTTTATTTTAATCAGTGACTAAAAACCAAAGGAGACTTGAGAATATAATGAGTTACATAAAGTCTTTAAATTCTTTCAATCAATTCAACCCATGAGACACAATTTGTCATATCTACAATATGTTACATGTGACATCTCTGAATTATCACAAAAATAGGGTCTCTATTCCTTCAATCTTTCTATGTGAAAAAGTAACAAAAATCATAATTATCTGTCTAATTGCTACTAAATTAGTTATGAATCAAGAATGGCCGGAATGGAAAAGATTGAACTTTTTCCTTTTGAGCCCAGAATCTCACTGTTGAACTGCCATTTCTTCTGTACACATAAAAAGCCTTTCCTAATTGGGGCTTCATAATGAACAGTGGAACATTTCTCCCGCTATTAGATATGTTGAGGATCATAGCTCTGCTTTCATTTCAGAAGTACTTAAAGTTCCTGCATTTCCCATCATCATTCCAAAATAAGTTTCACTCACATAATGAAAATTACCTAAAGCAGTATTGCATTTATCATACTCCCTCTGTCCCGGATTGTTGTTCCAAATTTCCTTTTTGGGATGTCCCAAAAAGAAGTTCACTTTCCCTTTTTGGTAAAGAATTTGTGGTTCACAACATTTCTCTCTCCTCTGCACAACTCTCCACCACACAATTCCCACTTTCTTAATCTGTGTGCCACTTTATTTTGGAACAACAATTAGGGACGGAGGTAGTATTAAACAAAAAGTAAGATAAATATAAAATATACCAACCATGAAAGTTCTGTGTCTGGTTTTGGCCAAAACCCATATGGACAACACTACTTAGATCATCCTCAAAGAATACAGGCACCTGGAAAATTCATTGTCTTAGCATAAGTATACACAAGCATAACAAAGAAAACAAATACTCCTTTTTTATCACTCTTTTAAATAGAGTTTTCACTTTAATTGGAATAAAACAGAAGAAACATAGACAAAGTAGAAAATTGTAAATATTAGAGTAGAAAAATATAAAGACAAGATGAAAGAAGTATAAAAGTGGGGAAAAAGAAGATAAAAAGTAGAGTAAAAGTAGGAAAAATAGGAAAGAGATAAAAAAAATATTGAAAAGGAGCAAATAACAAAAACTTTCTAAAAAAGTACTCCATATGGAGCAAATTATATGAACAGAGGAGGGGCTATTACTATTATTATTAGTGTTAGTATTACAGTTAGTAACTTAGTATTATTATTAGTTTGATTTGGTTTTATATTTGTGTGTGACAATAGTTTAGTTACCTGAGAGGATGGATCAAGATAAGTGTCCATATGAGGCAATGTGAGATCCTGATTTCTACAAAAAGGGGCTTCTGATCCTTTACAATGGACAGATTGCAAAGTTGGGAGTGAATGCTGAGATTGAAAAGAGTATGGAATTGGTGTTCCGGAGGCATTCGGTGATGAAAACACATTCTGAGACATTGTTCCTTGATATTCATACACCTGAGGTTTTCATCATGGTTTCAGATTACATTTAAGCAGAAACAATTTATTTATAGAGCACTAATTAAATTACAGATTAGCTAATTGTGTGCCTCTTATTATAATAATAACTTACATCCTTGGATAGAAGAGCTTCCATGTCAAACTCCATTCTCGGATTTACTGTGGCAAGCTTCATTGACAGAAACTACAAGCCAAATAATATGATGTTAAGTCACATATAAACTGCAATTTTACTGTATAGTTTAAGATGATACACCAAGTTTTAATACAGAAATAATAAATTGAAAGGAGTTGTGGATTTTATTTTTACCTCAACTTGTCTTTGCAAGGATTGCACATAGTTTATAATCTCATCTAACATCACAGCTTTTCCAGTCACCTATCAAGAAAGTAAAGGTAAATATTTTTAGAACGCTGTAAATATCTATAAATTTCAGGAAAATAACTAACCATTAACAAATTAGTTGTACCTTATTGCAGCCTGGCACTAGATCTTGCAAAAGCTTCATTCTTTCACTGATCTTTTCTCTTCTAACTCTTTCTGCAAGGCTATGGGCATCAGTGGCCTGACCCCTTCTAGCTCTCACATGAATATAGTCTTTCACACTTTCTGCAGCCTTTGGATTATTAGCTTTATTCTCTTTTCCATTGTTTTGCTCTTCTAGTTTTGTTCTCTTGGGGTTATTGAAGTCATTGTTCCCTGAGGCAGCTGCCTGTATAATCCAGTTGAACTTTATTTAATTGCCTCAAAGGTTTTTTTTATGAAAAAAATTGGAATTCATTTCACGTGAAAATAATATACTAGTATAAGATAAGATAAGATGCACATTACATTGGGAGATGATGTTGTTGTGGTCTCTTTGGCTTTCCCCTTTGTAGAAGCTTTCCTCTTTCTTAGATTTGTATCTTTTTTGCAGATTTCCCCAACTGGAATCTGATCTGAGACGGTGGAGTTCTCCCTGGAATTGCCCAACTCTGAGCTTTCAGGCGTGGATTTCTTGATGGAAAGGTTACCGGAAAGCTTGCCGGAAAAACAAGAAAATCTTGCAGCCCTGTCAGCAAAACCGGGATCGGTAGAAAATTGTTGTGGAAGGTCAGGGTGAATGGGGAAATCGGCGGCCATGGTCGGATGATCCACCATTGATGAGAGATTTAGCTTAGGAGGGGAATTATAGCCGGAATTGTTAGTGCAGGCGGCCGGAGAAAACTCCCCGGAGGAGTTGTCAAAGCTGCCTAGCCTTCCAATAAGTTCCTTGAGTATAAAGACCTGATTCCGGACGGAATGGTTAGCTCCTCCGGCGTGAGATGCCGCCGGAGATGAGACCATGGAGCTCAACGCAGACCGGAAAGGGTCATTCTGATCCGCCGGATTGTCCCAACTAGGACTGAACAGCTCATTGCCATGAATTCCAACTCCATATGACATTGTGATTCCATCATTTGAAAACAAGTTCTGCTTATCCATGGGTGAGAATGGTAGTTCAAGAATGGTTAATTAAAGAGATCAAAATAATCAAGAATCAACTAAAAGAAGCACAAGAATCTTTAGTTCTTGACAGATTGAGGTGGTGTACACTGTTTTTAAACTGCTTGGAAAAGGGGTAGACTTTAATGTCTGGAAGTAGACTAATTGATATTGAGATGGAAATATATAGGAGTACTTTATAAAGACAGGATGAGAGAAATTTGGGAGTATGAGAGAAAGAGCGAGTCAGGGAAAAAAATGGTGGGAAGTAAAGGGGAAAGGAAGGGTAGATAAAGAAACAATTTGACCTTTTCTATTTCTTTTTCTATTTTTTTCAACAAAGCCAAATTTTTCTCATCCTCAAAGTCCTCATCTAATTTCTTTTCAATAATGCTATGTGTACATGATTTGTACACAAATGTACATTGTACATGATATAAATAGCTTTTAATTTTTCATTCGATTTTTTTATTTTTTTCCCTCTTTTCCCTCTCCCCTATCTCTTTGTCCTCTCTCTTCCCTTTAACTTGAGCTCCTCTCTCGTAGCCCTTCTCCCTTCTTCTTCATTTTCATTTCAATCCTCTCCACATTTAATTATCATAAGTTATTTAATTTGTCTCTATGGTGTTTCACGATATTGAATAGGGAGCCCCGCAGACCTGGAAGACATCGCCGCTTGGAGCCGCCGCCATCTGAATGCTGCCACCGCTCGGAAGTTACAGGGTTGACCACCAGCAAGCGAGTCTGACATGGAGGATCGATTTCCGACCTGGTGAATTGCCGCTGACCCACTGCCACCATGGTATTCATTTCCCCTTCATCTTACTTCAATCCAAACTCTTTAACCCTAACTCATTAGATAATAATTTCCCCCTTTTTTGTTATTGTGGTTTAGGATTTTATTATTCTTTTAAATGCTATGTTTAATTGATATTATAATGTTGTTCGTTTGACACTTTATATTGTTAATATTTCCATGTGTGCTTGTTTTTAAAACTTTTGCATGCTAATAAGCTAGTAAAATGTTTTCTTTAATTTATAATAACCTATAAAGCATATTCAGGTTATCCCAATCTAATCCCAGAGGTGGAACAAGGCATGCCAAGTCTTAGTCACATGTGGTGGACTCTAAAATCTTAGTTGGTGTTATAATTATTTAGGGAAAAGTGTCAAATATGGCCCCCTACTAATACGGAAAAGTCAATGAAGCCCCCGAACTCAAGAAATACCCAATTAAACCCACGAACTATAAAAAACGAGGCAAAACAGCCCTTTTAGCATGTAATTAACTGGTTCTCGTTCCATTAGTCCACGTGTCGCACACGTGTCGCCATTTGGGGCCACCTGTCGGTTGTCGCCACATGTAAAGGTTTACCTGGAATCGGTTAATTACATGTTAAAAGGATTGTTTTGCCTCGTTTTTTATAGTTCGTGGGTTTAATTGGGTGTTTTTTGAGTTCGGGGGCTTAATTGACTTTTCCGTATTAGTAGGGGGCCTATTTGACAATTTTCCCAATTATTTATCATTCTTATGGAAGTTCAATATTTCTATAAATTCATAATTAGTATTGTTGTTGGTGATTGTATACAAGTATTTTTATGAAAATAATGAACTACTGGTTTTTGTTCTTAAATTTGAACTTAAAGAACAAATCAAAAAGTGATAGTATATAGTCTTATTTCGTGCTTGAATGTAGTTATACATATGAACATTACATGAATGAAGAAAACATATATTTAAAACTAAGTGATTGAACCTTGCTAAAATCTTAATCTTAATTTACATTTGTTCATAGTAGGGTAATATTCATAAAATTGGTGTGGAATGAGTAATTGAAATGAGTAAAAGTATGCATGTATGCAGCTTAAGTGGTCATGTCCAGGCTGCAACCGCATGAGAGTAATGTTTGTTTGTTATGAAAATATCCAAGAGAATGATTGGGAAAAGGGGCAAAAACACCCCTGTAGTTGACACTAAAGTACATCCAAGTCCATAAAATTATTTTTTTGGCATATATCTTTATATATCACTAAAAATGGCAAATACCCCCCTTAACTACGCAAATTATATCCTACCGCCGGTTGTACCATCCGCACGGTACAGCCGGCGGTTTTATTACTCCGTATCAGTTCGTTACAAATGCTCCGCATACTGCTGAAGGTCTAGACTTCTCTGCCGCCTTATTTGACTTTTCTTTTTCTTTAACCTCCTTTTTTTCTTTATTATATTAAATTATTATCAGAAGAATATATAATATGAAATATTATTTAATGTCTCATTTTTTTTCAAATTAATCTTCTAACCTAGTTTTTTTAGTTTGTGCATTATAAAATATTTTAGGTATTAATGTTTTATTTTTCTATTTTTAATTTTAAGATGAATGTTTATTAGTTTATTAAATATTATGTATTAATTACTAACATGAGCTTTACGTTATACTAAAATCTATCCTTATATAAAAGGAAAAGATTTTCGAGGCACACTCTTCCCGCCTATATCAACTTCATTTGTTAATTTTTTAGTTCGTGTAAAGAATAATCCAGGGAATGGGGTTCAGATGCCACTTGAAATTTTGTACGTAGGAAAGCCAATCCTATTGGCCTAAGCTTGCGGTGTGCATAGTAACCAAAATAATTGAGGGCTCCTATTGGTTAAATGTGGTGGCGGCTATTGTTCATTCCTAATTGTGATCTGATGTTGGCCTGGATTGCTCTATATTGGTGGAAAAGGACGGTCAAACAGTAATGGGGTATGGTGCAAGCTATTATTAGCAATTTGTACCTACATTTTGCACTATAAAAGCAGAGCTCCGGCAGCAAATTTATTCACATCCGTTCTCACGTTCCACTCTAATACTAAATAAAAGACAAAGCATTAAAAGTAGAGATGACTAGATGTGTAGTTCCCAGTAAGGAATTGGAGAATGTGAGAAAGGGCTGAGGCCTGAAGGGGTTGAGCAGAATCCTAGATTCACAGGTCCGCAGAAGATTAGAATTTCATATGCAGGAGGACCAAACCTGCGGGCCACGTGCACCAGAAAGCTGAGCGCTAATCGTCTCTACTCTCTACCTCTCTGGTCGATCAACTCCAAGAATCCTCTGTAAAAACAGAGGCTTAAGTCTTAAAAATTGTACTCCGTCTTTGTTCTCCCAATTTGAAATTGCGTTAGTGGTGTATCAGTATTTAGTAGAGTATTTACTCAGTTTTTTCCTGTTCTTGGGCTGGGTTGCATTAATTAATTTACAAAGTATGAACATTGACATTAAGAATATTACGTAGCATCTATTAATAAGTGTTTCGTAACCTTTCTCATGAAATATAACGTGCTTATATTTATATGGCATGCTACTTTCTATTTTTGGAGTTATAAAAATTTGCGTACGCCTTTGTTGATTGGGGAATCGCATTGAATGCATTTCAATTTATCTCAAATTGCGTACGTTTTTATTATTGTACATAATGTAATTCTAAATAATTCAATTAAATTATAATTTCCTTTTATTTTTGAATAAATTAATCACACTGTGATTAATTTCTCCCACCGTCCATCTCACGGTATTCTAAAAACTCTAGAAGTTGAATGAGGGATCATTTGTTCTCATGGGTGTTCCAATCTATAAATACACGTGTAGTGTCAGTGGAGGTGGGTATGGGTAAGTTCTAAAAGAAGTTGAATGAGGGATCATTTTTTTTAAATATATGTATGAATGTATGTTTCCTAATTTTCTCGAATAAACATTTTACCCACTAAAAATGAAAATGATATGAGTAATGAAGAGTAATCCATTTCATAACTCATATTTTTAACTTATAATCTAACTTTATTGCTAACTACGAAATTGAAGATTACACTTAGTTAAAAATATGAGTTATCACTATGACTGGATTAAATGTGTTTTGAAATTAAATGTGCTTAATTTATATTGAAGTGTAGTTTAATTATGTATTTACTAGAACTTATTTCATTTCCAAATCAGAACAAATCAAACTAGAGTTAAACAGATCAAACCCCCTTAGACAAGAGTTCGACATTTATAAAATACACATAGACCAAACGTTTACCAAACTACATCAAACCAAAACAATTCAAATCAGATTAGAACAAATCAGAAAAATTCAATCCAATTAAAAACAGCCTAAGAATGACATAAGCATTTTCATATATTTGCACCCCCTTTTTGTCTATTTACACAAGCAATTCATCTAAAAAATGCAATTCGTATAAATGTAGTCACCCTATTACTTAGAGAATATTCTTTGACCGTGCATTGCACGGGTATTATACTAGTGAGTATAGTGTAAAATAAATGTGCATGCATGTGTAAACGTTATTAAAAGAATACAATTATATTTGTAATTCAAGAACGGGTGACTATAAATCATTTTTCATTTTCTCATAGTTACATATGATGATAGTTTAGTAAATCGTGAATAACAAATCTACTATAAGTACATATTATAACAAAAAGTTTATGTTATATTCAAACGAGTATAATGATTAAACGAAACGAACACACATAATGAATATTTGAGCACAAATTAGAGAGTTCAAATGAGCTTTTTAATTTTTTGATGCTCATTTTGTAAGTTTTTTTAACCCCAGGGGGAGTCGGGGGGTGGGAGGTTGGGGGGCCTGGGGTAAACTGGGTCCAATCTTACTTCATTTAAAATTGAACCCGGGACCACCCATAAGGGAAAGTGAGTAGGTAAGATGTACCGCTTCCTCTGCTCATTTTGTAAGTTAGGTATGCTCATTTTTAAAATGTTTTAGCAATGCACATTTCAAAAGTCTCATATTACATTATTAGATTTATATAAGAGTTGATTATAGACACGAGACCACAAATCATGATACTCAATCGCAGATTCTAATACTCAATAATGGAGGTTTGATGCTCATTGAAAATGTCTTGATGCTCAACAAATAAAACTTACACTTTCCATATCAATAATGCTCATCTTGTAAGTTACATATGCTCATTTGTATAGATCTGATGCTCATTAAAAATTCATTAATGCTCATTTAATACAAATCATTATTTTCATTTCAATATTGAAGGTTTGATGCTCAATGAAAATATCGTGATGTCCAATTAACACGATTTTTTTTATCAATGCGCATTGTGTAAGCTACACATGCTCATTTGGTACTAATTTTATGCTCATATGTAAAATGACATATCAATGCGTGTGTAAAATGTTCAACGAACAAAACTTACAATTTTCATATCGATTCTCATCTCGTAAGT